CACTCCCCTTCCCACCCACCAGAGCCCATGGGGCAAAGCACAAAGCCTGGAGTCTAGCCAAAATGACCTTTCCTGCGCCAGCAACCTGGAATCACAAGGCACAAGATGCCCACATCAACCCTGACATTCAAAGGCGAATGTCAATACCCACTTCCCCAAGAATAAAATTAGAGGTGCCTTCATCAAGCTAGCCATGTGCTGTGCTCCTGTCTGAAGGCGTGTTAGTTTCTCAGTCATGTCCGACTCTTTGGGACCCCACAGATTGTTGCCCGCTAGGCTCCTCTGTCCATGGGGATTCTCCAGGCAAGAATACTGGAATGGGTAGCCATTTCCTTCTCCAGGGGATCTTCCCGACCCAGGCATCGAACCCGGGTCTCCTGCATTGCAGGCAGATTCTTTACCCTCTGAGCCACCAGGGAAGTTCACCAGCAAGTGCTCCTGTGTATTCATATGTATTTAACCCCCAACAGCCCTGAGAGCATCCCCTCCCTTAGAGATAAGGGCACAGAGGAGGCAGGAGGTTAAAAGGCAGAGACAGATCTGAATTCTAGAGCCGGAGGCTGCAGAGTCCGTGCCAATCTGACAGCAGCAACATTACTAACAAGGCCTCTGGCTTCCACCCAGCGGGGCAAGAAATTCTACTCTCTCTCTATCACGCTTGTGCCAACGTGGCAAAAATACAGAGGTTCCAAAAGAGGAGTAAATTAACCTGTCTCCTAATGTTGCCTGAAAAACGCCGTGTCCCGGGGCCCAGAAGCAGCACAAAGTGACCGCCAAGCTGCACCCCAGGCCCGAGACCTCAGCCAGGGCCACACAGGGAATCCTGGCCTGGGGGCCAGACCAACCCCAGGTCCCTAATCTCACCAAGGGACCTTGGGGGTGTCACTCAACCCATCGGGGCCTCACTTTCCTCAGATCTAATACGGGGACAAACGTAACTACGACCTCCAAAGTCCCACGAGGGCAGGAAGTGCTTTGGGGAGTGTCAGATACAGAGCAGGAGCTCATAAATGTTGCCTGAGTGACCGAAGAAAAGTCTCTGTGACCAGCCTGCCTTCCTCCCCCAAGACCTTGGGAACAGGGACTGAGCCTGACCCATCTCGAGTTCTCCCACGGGTGAAGCTTTTACTCCCCGTGGGTTTTCAGTTCCGCTCCGTTCAGTTCAGTCGCTCAGTCGTGTCTGACTCTCTGCGACCCCGTGGACTGCAGCCCACCAGGCTTCCCTGTCCATCACCAACTCCTGGAGTTTATTCACAGGAAGTCATCCACAAGCATCTACTATGTGCCCAGCCAGGTCAGGGCCTCAGTGACATCTAGGACCCACAGACGGCCTCAGGCTGTGTGCTCACGTGCCACCCCCTTCTCTGTTTTCTGGCTGGTGACTGCAGTACTTAGTCATGCTGGGCTTCCTTGGCCCAAGACGCCCACCCAGCTGCCTTCTAGTAAGCAAGCTTGCCCATTCTGGGGATTTGGGCCGTGACTCCTGCACTTCCACTTTCAGGGGAAATACAGCCTGAGGAAAGCCCTGACCCTTATCGCACACACGCACTCACACACACCAGCCTTGTACACACGCCCTCCAGTGTGCGGCGGGACCCTAGGACAGGAGTGAGATTTCCTGAGTTCAAATCCCAGTGCTTTTGCTTCTGAGCCTGTGACCTTGGGCAAGTCCCTTCACCTCCTGAGCCTCACTTTCTTCATGTGAAAAAAAAAAATGCTGTGACTTCCCTGGCGATCAGGTGGTTAAGACTCTGTACTTCACTGTTGGGGGCACAAGTTTGATCCCTGGTCAGGGAACTAAGATCCTCAAAGCCGTGCAGCACGGCCAAAAAAATTTTTTTTAATAAAAATATAAAAACATAAGCACAAATGACACACAAAAAAATAAGTAAAAATTGAAAAAATGAGAATGCTAATTATGAAGCTTCTCCATGAGGGTTGTAGAGAGATTTAATGGGATAGTGGATACAAAAACCTTTGGTTCAGTAAAAGTGCTTAGCTGAATAACATTGTTATTTTTGTTTCCTTTTTCCAGGAGTGAAAGAGAACGGCAGTTGCCCATGTTCCAGGAAAGTCCATGTTTAGGGGCTGGAATGTGGACATTTACTCGGTTTATTTGACGAGGATTATCTTGAGGATAGGAAAGTATTTGTGGGCCCAACATCACTGTGTTAACTCTAAGATCAACTAACAAAAATTCAGAATTTAGAACCAGAGACTGGAAGGGACCCAAGAGGTCATCGTATTTGTGGGGGAGACAGCGAGCCATCCACAAAAACTCTTTCTCCCTTCCACGGTACACAGCCGCAGGTGGGAAAGAGCCGCCTTAGCCGCAAGCTACACTTCACAGCCTCCTTTGCAACTAGATCAGCTCCAAGACCAATTCTCAGGTGTGGCAGAAAATAGTTAAGAAGCAAACATCCCTCCCCCGTGCTCTGTTTCCCCAGTGATGATGTCTAAGGGACAGTAGTCAACGCGGCGGCTCACTGAATCACTGTGGGGAAGAGGACCAGGCTCCACTCACAAACACCTGACTTAGAACAAACGTCTGTTTGGTTTGACCCATTGTACACGTTGGGTCTATTTGTTACTGCAGCTGCGACCCTGACTAATACAACATTTAACCTCCTTATTTTCAAATAAGATGCTTAGGGCCAGAGAATGGGCGTACCTTGCCTAAGGTCACGTAGCAAATTCAACAATGGTTAAAAACGTTGGTGTTTTAACAATCTGAAGTAGATTTTTTAGTTTTCAATCTGCGCCCCAGAGCCTAAAGGCCCTTCAGCAGTGATTGTGAGGTTCAGTGAGCTGCCGTCTGGAGTCCTCCACTAGAATAACATCACTTTTACCTATCTTTTAAAGTGCACTTCTCCATGTATTTTCATCGGAGGAAAGCGTTCTGTGGCTTAAAATAATGTCAAAGCCTGCAGGCTGGATGACTGCTAATGTGATCTGACTTTCTGTGGTATGAAACTGAGTTTCACTTCTTCTCCACCATTGCCTCCTGGCTTTAACTGCTGACACAGGATATGTAGACTCACAGAAGTGCATAGATATTTGCTTAGGAAGGAAAAAAAGAAGCTCAGTGGGCAGCAAAGAACCCAAAAACCTGGACAAAGGGGATGTTGAAGGATTCCAGCTCAGTGGTTCTCAAGACTGTCAGGGAGTGCTGGTTCAAAATGCAGACTCCCACACCCCATCCTCAGGGATTCTAACTCAAAAAAACTGATGCTCATGGTCCCAGGATGGCCCTTTGAGAAGTCCTGAGTCTAATTCAACTCAGTCTAAATCAACAGCAAGAACCACAGGGAAGGTTGATCTTGAAGAGGAGGTCAGGGGTGGCAAAAAGGAAGCTGGGGGGCGGGCACTTGAACAGAGAGAGAAGGCAGACCCAACACTTGGCCACTTTTTCTCTGGCCTCTCTGAACTACATGGGTCTGAGTGATCAGACTGACATCAAGTAGCAGGCACTTGAGTATAATGATGTGCTATTTGCCTGTAATTTTGCCAAACGCTGGTCCAAATGGTTCACCTACTTAAAACGTGCTCATCTGAAAGCAGAGTGGGGAATTGGAATATTTTCAATAGATAGTACAGGCAAAGGATTCATATCCTTCATATACAAAGAACTCCTAAACATCAATAAGAAAAAAGACAAACATGCTGCAAGAGAAAAAAAAAATGGGAATGGACTTGAACAGGATAGTCACAAAAGTGAACAATAAGATTGTAGAGGATATTCAGCATGAATGAAGAAATGCAAACTCAAGCAGCCAGATGCTATTCTCACCTTTCCCATCAGGGAAATTTTAGGAGACAGGTGACAACCAGTGGAGATAAGGCTGTGAGAATATCACACCCCAATATTGCGCCAAGGGAGTGCAAGCCAGCACAACCTTCTAGGGCAATGTGGCCAAAAGCCTTGAAAGCCTTAAAAGCACACAAACCTTTGAGCCAGCAATTTCACCTTGGGAAAGTTGTCCACAGGACACACAGGCAAAGATGATGTACTAGGAGTGGCCACTGCAGCTCTGTTTATAATAATGAAGAAAAAAAAAGGAAGCAACCACATAGAGGGATGATTAGTAAATCCCAAGCCATCTTCTCCATGCAGCCTTTAAAATGCACATTGGAGGAGCATAGATAATACAGATGAAGGTTCATGATCCGTGGTTAAGGACAAGGTAGGGTACCAAACATGGGCTTCCCTGGTGGCGCAGCCTGTAAAGAATCTGCCTGTAATGCAGGAGACCCAGGTTTGATCCCTGGGTTGGGAAGACCCCCTGGAGAAAGGAATGGCTACCCACTCCAGTATTCTTGCCTGGAGAATTCCTTGGACAGAGGAGCCTGGGGGGCTACGGACCATGGGGTGGCAAAGAGTAGGACTGGGTGACTAACACTTTCACTCTAGAGTACCACACAAGATGTCAGAAAAGGGAGTGTGCGTCCACATTTAGATGCTCCTGTGTGGCTGGTACATAGGAGGCACTCCACAAACATCACAGGTTGGTCAGTGAGTCAGTGAGTGATCCAGAGAGGCAACTGAAGGTCCACCTCTGGGTTAGGGACCCCTCTTTCTTCCCTGTAGCTGAGAGGTGGGACATTCCAGCAGCTAGGAAGGTGGGTTATACAGACTTTCAGCTGCGCACCCCGCTACCTGAGTCCACAGCGACGAGCTTGGGCCTCCCCCAATAGGATTCTCAGTTTCTTCACCTGTAAGATGTGGATGATGAAAGGACCTCCCTTGTAGGGTTGTCCTGAGCATTAACAGAGGAGAAACACAGAGTTCGCTGCTTTTTATAACTATGGTGACCTCGCTGGGCTTTTCCAATTGGCATGCATTACTTTGGAAATCTGAAAATCATAATAGAGCTATTTCCATTTTGACAAAAACTACATCTTACTAAGAGCCAAAGAACTTCTCTATCACTGTTTCCCATGCCCCCCACCCTCCCAACCCGACCCCTCTGGGCAATCAGTGTCAGAGCCGAGCATGATACCTTTGTGGCTGGTCTCGCCCAGGTGGTCCCAGGGTTCTGTGACTTCAGGTCACTCGAGGCTGTGCAGGAGACCCGTGTTCCCCGACTTCTTTCTCGAAGTCACACTGTTCTTTGCCTGGGGCCGTTTGCCCAAGAAAGCAGTTCACCCCCTCATTCATGGGCGGCCCAGAGCCCCCAGAGCGCGGCACTCCCGGAACATCCTCGTCCCCTGGAGGCTCCCAGGGAGACCCCCGGTCTGTCCTGCCCTCTTTGCTCACTGGGGGCTGAATGGGACAGGACTCTGCCAGAGAAACAGCTGGAGGAGGAGAGAGGGAGGGGCAGGAAACGGGGCTGACCGAGGGCGGGGGCGGCCAGCTGCGCGGACTGGGGGCCTTCTGGGGAGGCTGCCTGTGGCGAGCAGGCGGCGGCGGCTGGTGGCGAGGTCCGCCCGGGACGACCCGCCCCTCTGGGAGCTGGGAGCGGTGCCCACCGTCTGAGCACAAAGCGGGAGCACATGCAGGCCCCGGGGCAGTTGTGGGAAGCGCGTCTGCTCCCAGCAAGAGCCTCCGGAGCTCCAGACAGACTACGCACGAGCGTGGCTGCCTGACGTCCCACCGCCGGCCACCCCCACCCCAGGCCTTTGTGCATGCGGTTCCTTCCACCTGGATGCCCTTCCTGCTTCCTGCCCCTATCCGTGGCCTCAGGACCTTCTGCTTCCTTTTTTTTTCTTGGTAAATTAAGATAGCGATGAGGTTTTTTGCAGTATCTAATGAACAAAAATTTAAATGTCCTGTAATACTGGATTTTAGCAAATGTTGTTGTCGTCGTTGATTTGCTAAGTTGGGTCCGACTGTTTGCGACCCCATGGACTGTTAGCTCGCCATGCTCCTCTGTCCTTGGAATTTTCCAGGCAAGATTACCGGAGCGGGTTACCATTTCCTCCTCCAGCGGATCTTCCTGACCCAGGGATCAAACCAGCATCTCCTGCCTCAGCAGGCGGATTCTTTACCACTGAGCCACCAGGGGAGATCCTTTAGTAAATGTTACTGGGAAGCAAAAACCTGATCTATCATTGAATGTAGATTCATGCACCATTTCTAGAAAGCTAACAAATGACATCAGACCTTTAACTACGTTCAGACTTCATGTTGTTTAAATATAAATTCTATTTTCATCCTAAACCCAGCTCCCCGGAGAGAAGTATCTTTAACATGTTGGTTTGAACACACACACATATTTTTTTAATATAAATATACAGTGACTCAGTCAATCTCTATGTACCATATTGCAACCTGCTTTTGCATTTAATGATTATATATATTTGTGTTTATGTATATATACCTTACCATATTTTAACAGCTGCTAATGATTCCATTCATTCAATGTACCGTAGTTTATTCAACCATTACAGTATTTGGAACTGGATGATTAGGTTGTTTTCAACTTTTTGACTATAGTAAACACATCATTGCACACTTGTCCAATTACTTTATTATACAAAATTCCTATGAACATGTTTATTATTGAGTCGCCTGCTCCCTCTTCATGTCTCAGCTTGGGGCCACCTCCTGGAAGACTTCCCTGCCCCTTGGGGGGCTGCTCTGGGCTCCCCCCAGGACAGCACTGATGCAGCGTTGTTCTAGCTTGTGAGGGTATGTCTGTCACTTGCACTGGGACCTTCTTGGGGACAGGTCTGTGTTTCACCCTCTGTCCTATTCCCATCACTTAGCACGGTGCCCTGCCGCATCACCGTCAGCCGTGAACAATCAAAATAGCTGACAGCCAGGCAGCATGCTAGGCACTTGGTACTTAAACCTCATGAAGGACCGAAGTGAGCACTATTTCTGCCCCCATTTTCCGATGAGAAAATTGGGACACATAGAGGTTAAGTCACTTGCCCAAGGCCACACAGCTAGTAGGTGGTAAAGCTGGGCTTCCAGCCAGGCCACTCAGCTCCAGAGCCCCACCCTTAGCCTCCAAGCTAAAGAACTCACTGAAGGGCCAGCTGGTTCATCAGTGACTAACTGATGGATGCAGGGTGTTCATTGCCCTGTGCCGGGTGCTGTCTCCAGGCTGTCGTGAACCTCCAACAATGCTGCAGGGGGTGACGCGCACCGATTTTACAGATGAGGATTCTAGGCCCACGAGGGGAAGTCCTTATGCCAAGGGCGCCCAGGTCACACCAACAGAGACATGATTGACTGTCTAATTCAAGCTGATGCAGAAAATAACCTGTGAACAAAGGTAAAGAGAAAGGGGGGAGGGGGAGGGGAGGGGAGGGAAAGGATAAGAGAGAGTAAAAGGGCAGGAGGAGGCATAGGAAAGAAAGACAGACGGGAGAGAAAAAAGAAGGAAGGGGGAGGGAGCGAGTAGGGGAGAGGGCTGGAGGAAGGGACACCTGCCTCTTCTCAGGCCTCCAAAAGCTTGTGCAGGTAGGGAAGAATGTCCTTCACCATCTGACCAGGCTGAGAACCTCATCTTCTCCCCCACCATCCTCAGCCCTTAATTCAGTGATATTTACACTTAGAAACTATCTGGTTTAATGATTTCATGTCACAGATAATAATTGGAAGCACAGAGAGGTTAAGTCACTTGCCCAAGGTCACACAGCTTTTTAGAGTCAGACGTCAGGCCCAGGCTGACTCCAAACCTCTCTCCTCCACCCTCTACCAGCCTTCTCATCCAAATCTTTACTGTACAGATGGGGGACCCTGGATCCAGAGACAGCAAAGCACTGGCCGAGGCCACCCACCAGTCAGCAGCAGAGCGGCAGCCCCTGGTCCAAAGGAGCGGACGTTTGCACCACATGAGGGGTGGACACCACCTGTTCACCGCCACCTAAAGCTTTGTCACTGAGACCAGTGGTTCTCAAAGCGTGGATTCTGGACCAGCAGCAGCAGCCTGATCTGGGAACTTGTTCGAAATGCAGGCTCTTAACAAGCCACTTGGGGATACTGAGGCTGGCTCCAGTTTAAAAACCACTGACTCAAACATTTCCAATAAGAATACAATCTGGCTCCCAGGACTTGTCACCTTCTCCGTTCACAGAATTGTGGTTAAGAACAGAGGCCTTGGGATTAGACAGACCCAATTTGATGATGGGCTTCCCACGTGGCGCGAGTGGTAAAAAACCCGCCTGCCAATGCAGGAGACNTCCAAGGCCTGATACAGGAATACTAGTACCTGAGAGAGGTGATACCCTTCACGGCCTGCAAAGACACTCTGTTTATTCCCACAGAAACTGTTGTTACAAGATGGCAGATTAGGCTTCCTCTCTCTCTCTTTTTATTTCATTTTAAAAATTTATGTATTTATTTATTTATTTGGCTGCGCCAAGTCTTAATTGCGGCACACAATATCTACAGTCTTTGTTGCCGTATGTGAACACTTTAGTTGAGGCAGGTGGGATTTAGTTCCCTGACCAGGGATCAAAGCCAGGCCCTCTGCATTAGGAAAACAGAGTCTAGCCACTGGACCACTAGGGAAGTCCCCTTTATTCTATTGAAGTAAGTTGTGTTAATTTATGCCATACGACAGTGATTCAGTAAGAGAGAGAGATATATATTCCTTTTCACTATGGCTTATTGCAGGATATTAAACATGGTTCCCTGTGTTATACAGTAGGACCTGCTTATTCATTCTCTGCACAATAGTTCGCACCTGCTAATCACAAACTCCCAACCCATCTCTCCCCCAGCCCTCTCACCCTTGGTAACCACAGGTCTGTTCTGTTTGTGGGTCTGTTTCTGTTTCGTAGAGAAGTTCATTTGTGTCACATTTTAGATTCAGTGTGTGAGTGCTATCATGGAGTGTCTGTCTGTCTCTTCCTGACTGCCTTCACTCGCCATGACACTCTCTCGGTCCATCCACATGGCTGCAAATGGCACTGTTTCCTTCTTTTTCTTGCCGAGTAATATCCCATTGTCTAAACACACCACAGCTTCTTTATCCACTCATCTGTCGATGGACAGGTTGCGCCCTTGTCTTAGCTATTGTATACAGCACTGTAGTGAAAATTGGGGTGCATGTTGTTTGGGGGCTACAGTTTTTGTGTGTTCTGAATATATCCTCAAGATATCATTTTAAAATGCGGGAAAGTTGGAACTCCCTAATACCTTCACTCAGGGTCTCCGATTATTTATATTTTGCCCAATTTGCTTTCTTATTCTCTCCCTCTATCTCTCTGCACTTCTTTTCCTGAAACACGCCCATTTTGCATATGGGGAAACTGAGGCCTCGGAGTCACTTCTGGCGCCTACCTCCGTGGTCCCACACTATAGGCCTAGAACCTGAGATCTACAAACTTGGCAAGGGCCTACAGAAATATCTGAAACCTGAACTCACAAGCAGATCGACCCCAGAACATCAAAAGACAACTGCAAATTCAAAATTAATGTGTCTGATTCAATGTCTATAATATATTGGTGAGTCAACTGCTATTCAACCACACTTGTGTTTAGAAATAGAAAAGCACAGATCACAAGAACACAAAAAATAATTTATTCTTCCTAAGCCCCATATATATGAATTAGTTTTTAAACACCTTTTCAGGTACTTTTTTTTTATTAAAAACACATATGTATAATGGCATCTGCAGGGACATGTTGAGGTTTGCAGTGATGTGGGGTGGGTCCCCAAAATGTCAGAGATCCAAGAACCTTCAAAGGCCTTAACACCAGCTCTCTTGGCCCATAGCCCCTTGAGTCTTACCCGAACTGGACATAAGATGAAGATTTTTTCATGTAATTTGACAGGAAGGCTGTATGTACCTTTTTATGTGGGTCATAAAAAAAAATAAAAAATTTTTAAAAACATGGAGAAACATGAGAAATTCGTCATAGCAACGGAGCTGCCTCTCCTATTTTTAAAAAGTGAGCTATTCCCTCCTCCTCTTAGGACAGAAAGTTTATTTTCCTTCAGAGGCCTCTGACTCAGAGACAAGCCCAGAACTCAGTCCGCTGCCTCTAAGGGAGGGGTGAGGGTCCTGGGGATGCTCAGAGCCCCAGGCCGCAGGTCCCCTTCAGCTGGCATGGCCTCCGCACCCAGATGCCCCTGACGTTGCTGCTCACCACTCGGGCTTCCTGCTCTGTGAGCATCCACGTAGCCGCACTGAGGCATGCATCTTCAGACAGCTCACCTTGTAGGAACACAGCTGGATGACTGAGCTGGTTCTGTAAATATCAAAATATTTCCTGGCCAGTTGGGAAAACCCAGCTACCCTGGACCCTCTCCAAGGAACACCTCTGATCCAAGAACTAAAGTGGTAGCAA